CAAAGATGAGTCTGTGTCTCCATGTGTGGGTGTGCTTGGAAGAGGAGCTGGCCAGTCTTTCTAGTACACATGTGTATAAGATTGTCTCCTTGCATGAACTTGGAGATGTTTCATGTTTTATCTTCAGGGGAATATATGTATTTACTTTTCTATGCCCAGAGGGAAAACCTGTATGTGTGTGCATGCACCATTACATGTATGTCTCACACCCTTTGTGTGCAAGGCATGCATTCCTGTCCTTCAGAGCTCTGCACACATAGTAACTATTTTGATGTTGTTTATCTTGGCTTCCGCATGTGTGTCTCTCGACTGCTCTTGGTCAGTGGTGTATGGCTCAGAGCCTTTGCTTGTATCTCGAGCATTGCTTGTGCACCCTTCCTTTCCTTACCCCAAGACTTCAGGGCAGATCATCTCAGGCTCAACATGGAGGTACCCAGAGATGAGGTCACTGCCCTTCCAGTGATGGGAAATTGCCACCAAGCCTCCTCCACAGAACAAAACAAAAACTCCCTCTCTACCGCTCCTCAGGTTCCTACAAAGGGAATCCCTTTCCACCCACCCCACCAACCACACCCCTGGGCCCCCCAGCACCTCTGTCCTCCAAGAAGGCCTCTCCCTGGGAATCTGTAAGGACTCTGTTGCTAGCCACCACCAGAAAAACCAGCTCCAGCTCCAGGCCTGGGGTAAGGGATGTCTGGTATGGGGTGGGGGGTGGGGGAGTAGAGGGAGAAGCAGTCTGCTTGGGCCCAAGGGGAGGGGTCTAAGTATGTAGGGTCTCATTTTCCTTTGTTAACTCTTACCTCCCCTTGCCCACAGCACCTTCTCTACCAGAGAGGGCTAGAATAGGCAGGTAGTTTGGTATAGGAAAAGACCTGTGAGAGAAGGTTGTTTCACTAGGACAGGTGTCATTAACAACCCAGCCAAGCCCTTTTGGTCCCCCTTGTCCCCACAACCTTGACCTTTGGCTTTGAAAACTAGAAAAGTTTCCATCTGCCTTCATCCATCTCCCTCGCTTACCCCGTACTATCCTAAGCCCCCTAGCTTAGTGAGAGCTTCCCAACCCAGGCAAAGCGCCCACCTGCAGATTAGTGTCTGAGGAGGGGGGCCACACCAATCAGAGAGAGAGAGAAAGAGAGATTGAGAGAGAGAGAGAGGAGAACAATGGGGGAGGACAGGCCTTGAGGCATCCAGCTCTGGCCCAGACACAGCTCCCAGCACAGATAAGCCCCCTAAACCCCCCCTGGAGCCAGTCTGAGCCCCGGTGACTCACCATAACAGCTATACTGTGGGTGAGAGACCCAGAATTCAGCTTCTCTCAAACTCCTGATATCCTCTCACCTCTTATTTTGTCTCCCCAGTCCCCACTCTGACCATCTCTTCCCCACCTCAAATCACAGCCTCAACCCTGGTTCTCAGGACATGAGTTTTAAGTGGAAGTTGGGGGCAGCCAAAAAATGATGGGAAAAGCTCTTGAGGTTACAGGCCCCTTGTTGGCTCTGTTTCAGGGAAAAGTGATCCCACAGCTCTCCCCACCCCTGCCTAGCTTTTCTCTAAGAGGCAGGGAGCTGAGTCCTTTCTGGCATTTCGACTCCCCTCTCCCCTTGCTCCTTTTTCTTGCGCTTATACTGAGACTTGAACTCAGGGCCTAGGTGCTGTTCCTTGGCTTTTTTTGCTCAAGGCTAGTGCTCTACCACTTGAGCCACACATTCATTTCACTTTTTTGGTGGGTAATTGGAGGTAAGAGTCTCATAGACGTTCCTGTTTAGACTGGCCTTGAATCACAAACCTTGGATCTCAGCCTCCCTGAGTAACTAGGATGACAGGGGAAAGTCACAGGCATTCAGTGTCTCTGCTGCCCTCTTGACTCAATTTCCACTTCATTTCTATCCCTTCTCTCTGCCTAGACTTTGTGGTCAATTCAATGACATATTTTAGAGACCAAAAGATTCTGAGGCTGTGGCCCCGAAGATAGGACTCTGCATGCCAGGTTCTTCAACTACTATCTCTGTGGCTGAGGATTCTTTCAGCTCCCTCGAACACTAGTATGAAACCAGGGTCACTGAGGCCAAGGGCTTCCCTGGGGTTCTAGTTCTCACCACTTGGGCAGGGTAACAAACTTCTCTTTCTCGCTTCTCTGGATTTGGGTTGGTCTCACAGGAAAGGGCCTCTGTAATCAGAAGTAGAAAGGCAAGGATGGGGCCCCTCCCTTTTTAGGAAACCAACCTCAGAAAGAAAACTGTTGGTAACTCTCAGAAGACAGAGATCACAATTCAATGAACAGATCACAGGGTCCTTTGGCCACACAAAGAGCTAGAGACTAGGATCCTATTGGAGAGTATTTTGCAGATTTGGGTGCCTGAGCCCCAAGGCAGAAGAAGGGATGGACCTCACCCGGAAACTCAGTCCAATAAGGAGAGACAAAGAGCTGCGGTGTTAGAGGCACCTCCCAAGCCAGGGCTTCTCCCCTCGGCGGGATTGGGGGGGGGGGGGAGGAGATGGGTGTGAATTTGCAGTAGGGCCTGGGAGGCAGTATCCTGGAGAAGAGTCCTTTCAGCTGTTCTGAAACTCAGTCCCATAGGTTGGCCAATCAAAAAGTTATAGTATTTCAGAACCAGAAAATCTAAAGAGACTACCTAGTAGTAGTTCTTGGTCTACTGAAGTTGGCATTTTTAGTTGCTCAAAGAATAACAGGTCTGGGCACAGGTGGCTCACACCTGTAATCCTAGCTACTCAGGAGGCTAAGATCTGAGGATCACAGTTCAAAGCCAGTCAGGGCAGGAAAGTCTGTGAGACTCTTATCTCCAATAAACCACTCAGAAAACCAGGAGTACCCCAGTGGCTAAGTGGCAGAGCACTAGCCTTGAGCTGAAGAGCTGAGGGACTGCGTTCAGGCCCAGAGTTCAAGCCCCATGACCGACCAAAAAAAAAAAATAATAATTAACAGGAATGGGTTCAGAACCAAGGCTATGTTCAGCTACATGAAATATTCCAGGCTCCAAGGGCCACTAAGGAGATGCCTTATATGCAGAGGAGACAGAATGGGGATGGGACCATCTGGGGACCTGGGGTTTTAGTCCCAATGGATCTCTGAGAGCAGCCTTAGCTCTATGCAGGCTGTAGCAACAGCAGCAGCAGCAAAGTAATAGCTTCCTGAGTAATCCTGGATCCAGGCTTTTTTTTTTTTTTGTGGGGGGGAGGTCCCGTCGTGGGGCCTGAACTCTGGGCCTGGGCTCTGTCCCTCAGCTCAAGGATAGCTTCTACCACTTGAACCACAGCACCACTTCTGGCTTTTCTCTTTTTGCTTTTGTGGCGCTAAGGAATCGAACCTGGGGCCTCATGCATGCAAGGCAAGTGCTCTACCACTGAGCCACCTTCCCAGCCCCTGCACTCCTGGGTTCTCCCAAGGCTCTTCTCTGTCAGACACTGAGTGAGGTCAGGGATAAATTTCCTAAGTAGAAGAGGGACTCATTTCCCCTTTGTTGTACTTCTCCTGGAAAGAAGTCTCCCATTATAGAAGAGAGAAGATCAGGTCTCACTCCCTACTGCACAGCCAGCACCTAGTACATTACTGTATCCAGTTGTACATTCCATTATTCTATTATTCAATAAATGAGGAGTCACGAGACTTAGGACAACTAACACTGGTTATGCTTCTAACACGGAGCAATCTTACAGATCTCAGCTGCCTATCTATTTCTCTCAGTTTTCCCATCTGTAAAATAAAGGAGTTGGAGTGGTGATCTCTTTGATCCCTTCCAAGTCCTGAGACAGCATGACTCCATTCTACAGGTGTGGGTAGATCCTATAGGAAATTGCCTGCTGGGTTCTCTGGCCTAAGAGACAGGCCCCACCCTCTTAGCCTAGGCAAGTAAGAAGGGCTGTCTGGAAGATGGGAGTTAGGGTGGTAAAATGGCAAAGGTGGGTGTTCCATATTTGAGACTGGAAACTAGGCTGATGACCATTCCATTGTAAGACCAAAATGAGAGGAGCCCCCAGTCCTGCCAGTCTAGGCTTTTTGCTTCTCTTGAGAACATAGCCAGGTGCTGCCAGACAACTGGCTTGCTACTGACCTGGGACTGAGGAGCTGACTTTTCTGCCCAGATAGGCCCTCCATATTCCCAAGGAGAAAGATTCCTTTCTGTTCATTGCCTGAACACAGCCTACAACATCCCATCATGGTCTCATCGTATACATATATGCATTATTTTCCTCACTCTGAAGATTACAAATCCCTATAATTTATATCTACTCTATATACACTAGATAGACAGGAAGAAAAGTGTACTCTAACTGGGGGAAAAAAAGGGGGTTAGAAGAGGAACAAAGAAAGATCATGCTCTATCTAGAAGAAACCCTTCCCTAAACCCCCAGCCATTTAAATAACCCTATCGCTACTCGGACATCTACTTGTGTCTGTGCCCAGGGAAAGACAGAGACCAGAGAAACAGGAATTCTTGGCTTTCCTGTAATCTCCTAACTGGAATTCCAGTCCTGATGCCCTAGAATATCTTGAAAAAAGAGAAAGAGAAAGATATGCCCAACCACTCCCAGGACTCAGACTTTCTGCACCTGATGGCTGCTGAGGCAGCTCAACCCTGAGTCAGCCCCAGCTCTCAGGAGCAGTTCTGAAGCCCAGAGAGGGAAGCCAAGGAGCCTCCAGTAGCCCTGGGGGAGAGCAAGATCCTTCAGTTCCATCTCTCTGCTCACTGGGTTACCATATCTATTCCCCTATAGTTAGCCTGGGTCCAGGCAAGGCTCTGGCAAAGACAGGGACCCCAACATGCATAACCTGCCTGGAGGCTGAGATAGAAGCTGACAGGGAAGAGCTACACTGAATCTTCTGGTAGATAGAGCCGGAGAAAGACACTGTCTTCTCTAACCAGAGCTCAAGAAAGTAGAATGTTTTTGTGTATGTGTGCGTGTGTGCATGCATGGTTGTCTGGCGTCTGCGCTGGGTTGGGCTCGGAAGCAAGGGTCCTGATAGTTCAGGCAAATCCTACCTGTAAAGGATGTCAGGAACAGCAGCAGCAGCCAAGCTTCAGGCCCCCACATCTCGGCTCCCAGGGACAGGGGCATTGGTTGAAAGGCAGACCTGCCAGTGGTTCTGAAGTTCCACCAGTTCTCCCTGGGAGCCGCCTCTAGAGCTGGATCAGGCACTGACCCAGAAGGCAAAAAGCCTTGGAGCCCTGGGCACTGATACCTGCTATCTTGCTTGGGCCTCCACTAGGGGACCTGGCCCTGCTGTACCCACCCAGCAGTGGCTACCCCCAAGAAGCCGTGATCGGGAGCGCTGAGCTCCCCCAGAGCTGCTTCCCACGCCGTGGCCAACAACGAAGGCAGAAACCTGGGAACCTGCTCAGCAGGTCAGAACAGGTGCGTCTCCGGGGGCTGGGCCTGGCACAGAGAGGAGTCTCCACAGCCACCGCCCCCACGGCCTGGGCTAGCTAATGGGCGCCAGGGAGGGAGGGAAGAAGGGAAGGACCTGGGTGGGGGCATGAGATTCCATCCTCAGCTCTGAGCTTTACCTATGCTTTGCCTGCGTGTGTGTGCGTGTGCGTGTGCGTGTGTGTGTGTGTGTGTGTGTGTGTGTGTGTGTGTAAGGGACTGTGAAGGGAGAGGCAAGGGAGGGGTGGTGGGAGGAGGACCAGAGTGCCTTAAAGAGGGAGGCACCAGGCCTGGCCAGGATCAACAGGGGCAAGACTCTTATAGGTGGAAAGGAACCCATGCATCTGATACCCCAATCAGGCTTGATGCCTCCTGAGAGATTTGACAAATTCTCTGACCTCCTAAAGGGGCCCAGTTTTTGAATCCCAGACTCAGAAAAGGCCAGGACTGAAGATGATTTTGCCCTGATAGCCCATGTACTTCTTTCTTCAGATGAGAAAACAAGCCCAAAGAGCAGAAGGAACTTAGAAAACATATAATACAGTATCATGGTTTGCTCAGACACTTCTATCCCTGAGGCAGGGTTCTAGTTTAAAGACCCCTGAGAAAGAACTTAAAGCAATTCCTTTTGGCCTTATCCATGTATAGGTTAGCCAAAGAACTCTCCAAAGAATAAGGCTATAGATTCCTAGCGTCCCTCTCATAGCTCTGTCTCTTCCACACCTTATTATCTGGCTAGAGTATTGGCACAACCAGAGTAGAAGGGTTTTTGTTTGTTTGTTTTCTCCCCTCATTTTATTCCAGGGTGTTGGAGCAGACTTTGCAAGGACAATCTTGATTTCAAACACTGTGTCCCTGAACTCCTATAAGTATATTTCTATTTTTCAGACCATGTGTTTCCTTTTTTTTGTTGTTGTTGTTGGTCGTGGGCTTGAACTCTGGACTTGGGCGCTGTCCTTGTGCTCTTCAGCTCAAGGCGAGTGCTCTACTGCTTGAGCCATAGCACCCCTTCTGGTTTTCTAGTGGTTTATTGGAGATAAGAGTCTCACAAGCTTTCCTGCCCAGGCTGGCTTTGAACCACGATCCTCAGATCTCAGCCTCCTAAGTAGCTAGGATTACAGGCATGAGCCACCAGTGCCCGGCTTATGTTTCCATTTTGGATAACACAATCTTATTGGCCTACCTCAGATAGCCAGAGGAAAAGGGTATGTTCTAAACTTCCCAAAAACTTCGTGAAGGGGAAGAGCAAGATCTTTGGTACAGTGGGACTTAAACAACACACAAACACACACACACACACACAAAGACAAAAAAACAGGTAAATGCTGGGTGTGGTAGCTCAAGCCTGTAATCCTTGCTACTTAGAAGGTAGAGATCAGGGGATTGCAGATCAAGGCCAGCTCAAGGAACAAAGTTTCTCAAACAATGACTAGGTATTGTCCCTGCTAAAAGGGAAGCACAATGGTTGGGCACAGTTATGCACATCTGTCATCCCTAGTGACATGGAGAAACACAAGTAGGAGGACCACAGCCTGGGCATAAAGTTAGACCCTATCTTGAAAATAACCAACATGGAAGGGGAGGCAGCCTTGACCAAGCAAGAATGTGAGACTTTGAGTTCAATTCCCAGTACCTCTCAAAAAAAAAAAAAAAAAGGAAAAGGGAGGGAGATAGAATGGAAGTTGGGGGAGAGAGAGAGAAAGGAAGGGGGAGAGAGGGAGAGAAATAAACAGGTAAATATAAAGACAGATATGGGAAAGAAAAAAATCAGTGAGGAAACAAAACCAAGGCCTTGTGCATGCAAGCTCTCTGCCACTGAGCCATATCCCCAGCCCCTTACCTGTCAAATCTTTTTCATCTTTCAAAAGTAACCTCAAATGCCGCATCTCCCATGAAGTCTTCTTAGCTCCTCCCACTCAAAATTAATCTTTCTCTTTTCTATTCTTCCTCAACCCTTACTAGTCCCTTTATTATAGCTTATGTACTCATAATTTGTGCACATCTTATCTGCTTAATTAAATCGTAAGCTTTAATTCAAGAAACATTGATTGAGGCCTGCTATGTTCCAGGGAATCAGTAAATGTGTTAAATTGAGGGACAGGAGAATACCTTGAAAGCCAGGTTTGTTTTACAATCTTGTCTCAATCCTTCATGCTAGGACAGTTCAAAGCACCTAATGGGAACTGAATGCATTTTTGTTGAAAGCATGAATTTCTGAATAAATGAGTGTCATTATGGAGAAAGTGGTAAGGTAGGGTCAGAAGATGAAAATCCCAACTGATTGTGTTCTGTCCTGAACCTAGGTTATGACGTAGACTTTAGCTCTGCCTCTAGACTATGACCCATTTCTGGCAATGAATTCCAATTCTCAGCAGTGACCATGATAATGACTTCTTGAAGGACTATTTCCTACAAGCCAGGGACATATTCAAGGACCAAGCTAGATGCCAAAACCTCCAAATTTCTCTCCACCCCCACCTTGGCAAACCCCTTCCCCTCTTTGATTCAGATCCCCAACCTGTGCCAGAGGAACAGCCCCACCCCGATGCTGCTTTGAGATCCAGTGGGGCAGGGGTGGGGTAGGGTGGCGGGGGGAGAAAGGGGAGCATCCTGTGTTATAATTATAATTATCACACCTTGGATCCTATCACATGCTTTCAGAGGAGCTCCTTTCCTTCCCACGGATTCACCCCTCCAGGTACAGGAAACCACAGGAGAAACTCAGGCATGGGGGTGAGAAAGCTATGGGATCACAAGCTGAGTATCCAGCTGCTTTGGCCTTTCCATTCACAATAAACTCCTTCAAAATGCTATCAAATCTAGGCATATGAAACACTAAAGGCAGGTAGAACTCACCAGAGGTGGTGTGAAGGTAATAGTCATACCCATAAGCATATTCAAGTCCTGGTAAACATCACAGGCAGCCTGAAATGGGGACTAAGGCCACCATTGATAGTCACGCAAGAGTCAGGCAGCTACTTGGGCCTTTGATTGAAATAGAGATCTCTCTTCATCAAACAAATTCTTTTTTATTTTTTTCTCCTGTCAGTTGTGGAGCTTGAACTCAGGGCCTGGGTACTGTCCCTGAGCATTTTCGTGCTCAGGGCTAGTGCTCTACCACTTAAGCCACAGTGCCACTTCCGGTTTTTGAGTGGTTTATGAAAGAAAAGAGTCTCACAGGGACTTTTCTGCTTGGGCTGGCTTCGAACCACGATACTCAAATATCAGTCTTCTGAGTAGCTAGGAGCTAGAATTACAGGGGTGAGCCAGGAGCACCTGGCAAACAATTTTTTTTTCTGTTGCCAGTTCTCAAAGCCCTGATACTGTTCCTGACCTTTTGTGCTTAAGGGTAACATTCTACCACTTGAACCACAGCTCCACTTCTGCCTTCTGAATGGTTAATTGAAGATCAGAGTCTCACAGACTTTTCTTTTTTTTTGGTCCGGTCGTGGGGCCTGAACTCTGGGCCTGAGCACTGACCCTCAGCTCTTCAGCTCAAAGGCTAGCGCTCTACCACCTGAGCCACAGCGTCACTTCCGGCTTTTTTCTTTTTGCTTATGTGGTGCTGAGGAATCGAACCCAGGGCCTCAGGCATGCAAGGCAAGTGCTCTACCACT